ATTTAATTGGTCTCTGAAAAACTCCGAAAAAAAAAAAAAAAAAAGCCCTCTGTGGGTGCCTGAGTTTTGCCGGTTAACCAAGGGCCCTCGGTGGCCGAACCATGGTCAAGCCACCACAAACCCTCACATCCGAGCAGCTGCAGGTCGACAGGCAGGCTCTGACCGCCCCGCAGGCCGCCCTGGTGCTGAGCGTGCCCCCCGCCGCCTTCTGGCAGCTGGGAGCCCGCCCAGGGCCGCCCTCGCCGCTAAAGGAGGCGCAGGTGTGGGAGGGCGTGCGCCGGGCGTGGACTGGGCTGGAGGCAGAAATCAGGTGCGGGGCACGGGCCTCCTGGGTTGAGTGTCTTGACCCCTTCCTGACACACATACTAGCCTCCACACCCCACACCCTGGATGGGAATAAGATCATTGGCCACATACTGGGCTGACTGCTTATGAAATGTTAGCCGTTCCAATGGTTGCTAGTAAACCCTCATGGTCGGTACCAGAAAGTGAGCATTTGAGGTGGGCCTGGGGGGTCCTTCCGGCACCCGTGCCTCACTCAGCCTGAACCCCTTGGGTGCTGGGGGCACGGTCTACTTCCAGCCTCCCGCAGGAATGGCTCCCCCTTTGAGGCTGCTGGAAACCAGCTTGGACAGAAACGGGGTTCCCACAAGAGGGATGAGCTTCTCAGGGGTTGCGTCCCGGTGGCATGTAATAAATACTACTGGGCGGGGAAGCTGTCCATCACCCCACCGGGCCAAGCTTGCTCATGGACACCAGTGAAAGCCAGCCAGCCTGTTGGAGGAAAGGGACAGGGCTGGCATTTGGCAGAGGTCTGTAGCTGGGGACTGAGCGGCCGCGTCCACCGTGGGTGGGTGGCGGAGTCTCCCGCGCAGCCTTGTCCCAGTCTACCGCCTCTGCTCTGGGCCACCGCATGTCCCCGACGGGCTACCGCTGCCTGTGAAGCAGGCCTCAGAGCTTTCCAGCCTGGGGGTTTTGTTTTTGATTTTGTTTTCCGGCCTGAAGAATGCTCTCTGGACTCCTCGCAAAAGCTCTCAGGACCACAGCGGGAACCGAAGCGAAAATAGCCCACGGGTGGGAAGTCTATAAGGACCTATTCCACCTCTTGAGGGAGCACGGGCTTCCTGGATGCTCCTGCCCCCCACCCCCCCTTTGGGAAGAGAGGGCCAGGGGCCGTCAGGGGGGAGGGCAGGCCTGGGCTCTGGGGGACAGTCCCCTCCTGAGCCCTACCCGTGGACTGTGTGTTCTCTGGAGCCGAGCCTGGCTCCGGCGCGTGGGGTGCGGGGCCGAGCAGGATGACAATACCGTACATGTGCGTGGGGCCTGGTACTTTTCCAAGGGCTTTTAAATGCATTATCTTGTTGGAGGCTCATTTGAGGCAAGGACTCAGAAGCAGCCTGGAAAACAACTGATTTACTGAATCCCGAGTGGAGAGGAAGCCGAATGCAATGTGTGTGCTTGCGTGTGTGTGTGTGTGTGTGTGTGTGTGTTTGCTGAATCTCAAACCAAAACAACCTTTTGTTAAAGAACAAACAAATAAACAAAAATGCTGAACACCAATTCACCAGGGAACACAGTCTGAACAGAGGTTCTGGGCAGAGAATCACGAAGCAAATCTGAATTCAACAAACATGTACTGGGGGAGGGGTTGCTGGGGCCACAGATGTGCTCGGGAGGGGCCCGCCCGAGAGCTTTTAGGGGGCAGCGTGCACTGGGGACCAGGTTGACCTGGCTAGGCAGACTGCAAACACGGGGCCTTCAGGAGGGGCAGAGAGAGGAGGCCGGGGAGGGAGCCCCTACACGGGGCAAGAAGAAGGGGTGCATTTGGGGCATTGGGCCGTGCTGAGCCTGGGGGGGACGCTGCATTGCCTCTGGGGGCACACTGGAGGTTTCCTGGGGGGGGACTGCCGGCCGCATTTGGAGCAGCGCTGGAGTAATTCATCTGGGGCAGTTGGGGGAGGGCGGGGGTTTCTGAAATGACTGAATGGTCAGCATTCCCTGAATGGAAATGATTTCATCCAGTTTGAATTGCTTCTTTGAAATAAGTCCATTCCCCTGGTTTTGGGGGGCACAGAAATGGGAAGTGACAGCTGGAAATGCGTGTGGGAGTTCGGGGGTCGGGCAGGTTCTTGCGACCCAGGCCGGACGGGAGGTGCAGTTGCTTGATCGGCTACCCCTCACCTGTGCCAAGCGGGGACTGGGGGCTGTGCGGACCTTGGCCACACAGGGCCCTCACAGCCCCAGGGCCACATTCTGTGTGTTCACAAAGCCACGCTGAAGGCCTGCGGTTTCTCCCTGCTCAAGACTGACTTCGGGAGCCCACTGTGGAGGGAGCGGGGCGTGAAATCCTCACTCTCACCTGGGCTTCCTGGCGGGGTCCTGTCGGCCTCTCCCGGCCCCGATCCCTGGGCTCGGCAGAACTTTCAGGTCCTGCTCGCCCTGCTCCCCAGAACTGCCCTGGGAGGGGGAGCTCGAGGCCTGTGTGCCGGAGGCCCTGGGAACGCAGGCACTCACCACCAGATCGGGGGCTATGTCCTCTGATAGGGAGCAGGGTGGGGGCTCGCTGTCCTCCCACCTGCTTGCCAAGCCCTGGGGAAGCTGGCTGGCTCTCAGCTAGAAGCTGGGCAGTCTTTCCACCTCTGCTACCCTTTTCCCAAAAGAGACATTTCCAGGGTCTCGTCCTTCATTCCTGCCCACAGGGCGACATGGGCTCTGCTCCAGGCAGGTGTGTGTCACCATGTCCCGCACCCCTGGGCAGGTGCTGGGGACCCCTGGGCCCACCCGCAGGAGGTTTCGTGGGCTGCGAGGGCCAGTGTTTGCTCCTCTGTAACCACCCCCCCCCCAGCGGAGTGGGGCTGCTCCTGGGACGAGGCTCCAGGATTGGCAGGCTCTCTGTGCAGGCAGGGGCGGATGCAGGTGAGTTCATCCGCGAGCACCTCCTCGGCATGCAGGTCCGACCAGCTGCCCGGTGTGGACTCTGCTGGGGCTTTGCACCCACACCTTCGGGCCCACGAGCTTGGTGAGCTGCAAGCTACAATGGCCCATCTTCGACAGGCTCGTCTTTGGGCTGCTCGCTGGAAACCATGATCGAGTGGACCCACCAGTGCCCACCTGCCCCCCACCACTGGCTGCCCCCTGACCCTGTTGCTGGGGCTCTGGTGCGGCCTGGGGAAGCAGCCGCCCCGTCCTAAAGCCCTTTGGCCCTTGGGAAAGCAAGGCCTTTGGCGCCCCACCCCCACAGTCCCCCGACGCCAGGCACGCAGGCCAGGTCCCGAGCCCGCAGCTGGTCCCCAGCTGGGTCCCTGGCCCTGAGGCTGCCTTTGTGCCTGCACAAGGGAGACTCAGTTCGTCCCCTGCTCCTTGACCCTGCATCCTGCAGCCCCCTGGTGGGGGGGAGCGGACAGTGCCCGGAGAGGGAGCTAGACCACCTCAATGACCTCTGCCTCCTCCAGGGCATCTCGGGGAAGCTGGAGAGGGCTGCCTATTGCAAGGCCATTAAGCAGGCTAATGAACCGTGAAGGCTCCTGGCCCCTCTGGCCCCCCACGGTGCCTCCCCTCAGCTCACAGAGCCCACTGCCCACCTACCACCTTGTGACTGCTATTATTGTCACTTAGCGTGTCGGGTCATGGTTTTCCCAGACAGAGCTGGGGCCTCAGAGCTGCTCCTTGCCTTTTCCGGGCCCAGCTAGCACCGTGCACAGCACGCACTTAATAAATATTTGCTTGGGATCGGGCCCAGAAAGTCACGTTGATTTCCAGAGCTGGGGAAGGGACTTGGGAGTCTGGGGACCCTCGAGCAGGGCTGAGGCGGCCAGTGGACCTGGGCATAGCCTGGTGACCTGCGTCCTGCAGCTGTGTTCTCCCCCTCTGTCCCCAGCAGAGGAAGTGTGGGTGGCTTCCTCCACGCCAGCTGGTGCCCGCGTCCCCGACAGCTTCCTCGGGGGCCAGGCAGCCCACTGGGATGGAGCCTGAGACGGGACAAAGGCCCTGCCTGCTCTCTCACCCGAACGGCGGGGGGAGGCTGGCTCCTAGGCGCCCTGCCTCACCTGCCACACTTGGGCCCGGGGAGGCGGCATCTGCTGCAGCACTGAGGCCGTGCCCCGGGGGCCCTTTGTGCTGAGGAGACACACCTGACTCCATAGGACACTCGCCTCGTGATGTGCTCAGGGGGGAGGCCCACCTTCCCTGCAGACAGCAGGAGCGTGGGGGGCCCCCACAAAGCCCCGGGGGCCTCCGGTTGGAGTCTGCACTGTGACACCTCCGAAAACCAAGCCAGCCTGGGCCGGACAGCCACGGCCCAGAGTCCCCGGGCCCCACTCGCAACCCTTCCCAGGCCCCAGCACTCTCAGCGGCGGCAAAAGCAAGGCTGCCAAGCTGCCTCTCAATGCAGGGTGCTGGTGTTCAAGAAGGTGGGAGTGCCTGGAGCCTCGGCGCCACGGGCAGGCCTCAGGGTGGGTTTCTCAACCAGGGTGGGAGACAAAGAGACGGAGGCAAAGGTGTACCGTGATACAGCCATATTTACTTCAACCTCCAGGGAATCCTAAGGGCCCAGAGACTCCCCTTGGGCCACAAGATTGGGTCCCTGAAACAAGTCACATCCACCCTTTCCCGGGGGGGCTGCCACTGCCCTGGCTGGAGCAGGGGCCTGGGCTCTCTAGCAGGTGGGTGCCATGTGTGGGGCCTGCGGCCAAAGATAAGGCCATGGGCACCCACTGTGGGCACTGAGCAGGGGCAGGAGGCCCAGAGGCCATCTGGCCAAGGCGTCAGGGCCACCCATGCATCCTGGAGCCTCAAGGTCATGTGGAGGCCCCAGGAGGGAGCAGAGTCTTCAGAAGCTGGCAGGGAGGCTGGAAGGTCACTCGAACAGCAGCGAGCCCCAGGGCTTCCCCCCTCCCGCCCGCCCCCGCCATCCTCCAGACCCTAAGCTGTCTTCTAAGACAGAAGAAGGAGCTGTTTCTATCACCATGACAACTAAAAATAAAAACAAACCAAAGGCTATCTTAAGGTATAATCTTCTGATTGCTTAAAATTAATCAGTGCAAAGTGAGGTAAAGAGCCTTGTGTCACCGGGGGCCGGGGAGTGGCAGGCCTCACACAAGCCTGCGCCTCTTGGAGTCCCTCTCTACATGCCCCTCCTGGGCATCCACGTCGCAGCCAAGTGGGGACACCAGGTTCAGCAGAGGGTCCTCGGAGGCCCGGCCGAAGAGCGCCAGCAGGAGGGCCACGCCGAAGCCCGTGGCGCGCTCACCCTGTGGGCGAAGAGCAGGCTGGGAACCCTCTGCTAGGCGGAGCCAGACCCCCTCAGCAAGCCCATCGCTGCGGGAAGGGGCTCCTGGTCCAGCCCCCACTTGCCCTATGGCCCCCCCTTCCTGCTATCCTGTCACACTCAGCACTGAGTGGGGGCAGGGTGGCGGGATGGTTCTGTGCACTCCGGTCCCAAGCCCTGGGTCTTCGTGGGTGGGAAATGGGGAGCTGAGGGCCCTGGGCCCCCAGCAGAGGACAGGCTGGCTGGAGAAGGGCCGCACATAGCAGGCACTTTGTGTCCGGGCCCGGGGAGACCAGAGGTTGGGGGCACAACTGGCCGGAGGGTCAGGCCACAGGCAGTGCGACCCCCAACACCTAATGCTTCGGATGAGCTCAGCCTGGAGCCAGAGAGGGGCTGTGGATGCATGCGAGGCGGGAGCAGCCCGGCCAGTGTGCAGGGTGTGCAGGGGGGTCAGGGGCAGGGGGGGAGAGGAGAGCACCATGGGGGAGCCTGGACTCACGGCGTGCACCGGGGCGGCGATGTCCAGATGGACCCAGACCCCAGGCCAGTCAAAGCCGATGTGTGAGGCGATGAAAAGGCCGGCGCAGGAGCTGGGGCTGTTGTCCCGGTCCTGGTGGGACAGCAGGACACACGGTGACCTTTCCGCTCCCGGCAGTGGGGTGTGGGGGAGGGCCTCCACCAAAGTGCATTTGGGGCTGCTTCCCCCTGGACCCGAGTGGGCGCCCCCATGCCCTCTCGACCACACCACCCTCAGCCACCACCTCCCCTGGTGGCTACAAGAAGGGGTCCGACGGTGTCGGAAGACTGCGGGGAGGGACCCCGAGGACCTCGCACGGGGGTTAAGGGGTCTGCCTTCTCCCGGGGGCGACGGCGGGGCTGGAGAAGGAGCAGACGCCGGAGCGGGGAGGGGACCCCCCAGCGCCCGACCCGGTGGATGCGCTGGCAGGGAGACCAGTGAGAGACGCGTCCCCGCTCTGGACGCTTCCACCCTGACGTGGATCTGGGGCCCCACTGCGGGGGGGACCCTCGCCCACACTGCTGCCATGTCTTGGGGTCCCCCGGGCTCCCCGAGGGCAGGGCTCCGCCTGCCCCGCTCCACCCTGCGCGGGCGCCGCTGCACACCTACCGCCACGGAGTTCTTCATGTCGGCCACGGCCGAGGTGAACTCGCTGAAGTGCAGCTCGGGGCAGTAGACCAGGGGGTGCACCAGGTCCCCGCACCTCCTCCCGGCCTTCACGCAGGCCGCCTCCCACTCCGCGCTGTTGGTGAGCACAGCGGCGTGGTACTTGCCCGTGGCAATGCCCTGGGAGGGTGGCCAGCCAGAGGGAGGGGCGAGCCACAGGCGGAAGATGGAGAAGCCGGGAGGGGCAGGGAGGAGAAGCGAAGGAGGGAAGAAACAAGAGCGTAAGCGCGCCACCAGGGAGAACGCTTCCTAAGCCGTCCGGGCGCTGGGACCCAGCCCACGGGTTCTGCCGCCTGCGCCGCGCTGGACGCCAGGGACGAGCTCCCTGCTACTCGGCCAGGCCGTGACGATTAGGGGACTGCACCAGCAACCCCCCCCCCCGCCCCCCAGAGTCAAGCTCCGGTCAGTGTGGCCACGTGCAGGAGCTCACCTGAGCTCCGGTCAGTGTGGCCACATCCAGGATGATGTCCGCACCCAGGTCCTTGCAGGCGTAGGACACACCATCCGCCAGCACCAGCCTGCCCTCCGCATCAGTGTTGTTGATTTCCACAGTCCTGGGGCGCAGCAGAGACCCCGGCTCAGGGATCGTGCTCCCTGGGGCACTGCGACCAAGTCCCTTTGGAACTGGGGAGACTCCATTTAGAGCCCTCTTCCCTCTAGCTACCGTCTCGGGGGGCCCCTCCCGTCCCCTGCAGCAGTGCAGTGCCAGGGGCCAGAGCAAAGGGCAGTAGGTCAATCCCACCCCACTGCCCTCCCTGCTGGGAGCCAGGGAAAGCCACCCAGCCCCCTGTGCCTCGGTTTCTTCATCTGTAAGATGGGAGAACAGGGTTGTGTGGGCAGCGTAAATTGCGCCGGGCCAGCCCTTGGCCCACAACGCCAGGCACTGGGTAAATGCAAAAAGGGAAGCGCCTCTGGGGGTCTCCCTGGGGACAGGCACCCTTGTATGGGGAGCTGAGTGGACTCTCCTATTGTGAATCTGGGCCACCTGCTCCTCCAGTTGCTGCCTACTGACTTCTAGGCATGTCCTTATGCTGAGAAGAAACAGTCCAAGGGCTGACCTCAAGGGAGAAATGCGGGGAGGGCCCCCAAGTAGGGAATTGGTGGGGGCGGTGGACAGGGCTTCAGATGCACAAAGAACTTTAAGTCTAAAGGCTGGGAAGGGCTCATCCCATTAAGGCACGGTGGATCCTATGCCCCGCACCTTGAGGGAGCCCAACAGTTTGTCCAGTGATGCGGCCGACACCCCCTGGGCCCCTGGGAGCAAGCAGCCCACGGGCCCAGGGGCCCCTGTGACAGGGCATCCTCCCCACAGGATGTGCCTCTGGCTGGAGTGAGCCGGGTGAAATCAGCCCCCCGGCTGACCAGCCTAGCCCTGGGAAGGGGAGGGGCCCCCTCTGAGTTCTAGCCCAGAAGGCAGCCGATGAGTGAGGGGAGCCAGCCTTACTTTCCTGAGTACAGCAGGTGGATATCGTCTGGCCTCGTAGCATTGGGGCCCACAGAGTTTTCAGCCAAGCAGAACACAGCATGGAGGTTGTCTTTGAAACCCTGGAGGGAACATGGGCAGAGGCTCCTGTTACAGGTGGCCATGCATGGAGGAGGGAGGACAGGCCAGAGTCTCCCACCCCCGTGGACAGACAGAGCCCTAGGGAGCAGAGAGCAGACTCCCCAGCAGTTCTGGCAGCACCCCATCTGGGGGGTCTTGCCTCCTCCATCAGAGCCCAACAATGCAGAAATGAGCCCAGGAGTGGGGCTGGGCTCCCGGCTTTAATCCTGGCTCAACCACTTACCCGGGGCACGAGCCGGGCTGCTAGTTCAGCCCCTGCCTCCTGTCCACAAAACGTGGTCAGCAATCAATGTCTCCCACTGCACAAACCCTCTGAGCTCGGCACAGCTGCACAAAAGCAAGTCACACACATACAGGTGCACGGGAGTTGGGGAGAACTTGCCTCACAGAAATTTAGGTATGAAGTTAGTTTTCTGATGCCCAAACATGACGTTGGTACATTGAGAAATGTGCACAAAACAGGCTGAGGAGGTTTCCGCCCCACACGGGTCCTCAACCTGCCCAAGAAAACCCCAAGGCGGCCTTGCCCAGGTGGCAGTGGCAGTGGGAGTCCCACACCCCGTCCCCGTGCGTCCTCTCCTCCCAGACCCAAGCCCTTAATCAGGACGCGTCCCCTCTGGGCACGGGGCACGCCAGGCCCCCTCCTGCCGCCTCCAAGCTCTCACACACAGCTGTCAGGTGCAGCCTCATCTCTGCGACAGGTGATTCTTCCACCACAGGTGCAGAGCTCCCAGTGAAGGTAAACACGGGCCCGCAGCACAGGCTGGGCCATGGCACCGGGCTGGGCCGGCTTTGAGCCTGAGCCCGACACCCCGCGCCCGGGAAAGCCCCCCCTCGCTTCCCGGGGAACATGACACCAGGCAGCCCGTCAGCTCGAAGACCCCTCCAAGAGTGGCTGGGATTAAATGAATTGTGATAACATGTGGCCTTGAAACAACAGGGTGGCCCCAGGGGCTCTGAAGCTAGAGAGGCAGGTGGACCTCGCCAGGGAAGGTGGGGAGCCCCGAAGTCTTCCCAGAGAGAGCCATGTCGGGTCTGGGCCCGGAGGCGAGAGGAGTTTGTGGAGCACGCACAAGCATTATGTTGTGGCAGGACAGCGGGGCGGTGAGGAGAGACCACGGTCCCCAACCTGACCCTGTCAGATGCCCCCCTGATTTTGGATTCAGAAGGTCTGGGGTGCTGCTGATTCTGGCGTGCGGTCCCCCTTGGGAAGGCTGGCTTAGAGGGTGCTGCGAGCCTTGGGCAGGTGGTTCTGAGCTCATGTGGCAGGTATTGGGGTGCAGGGGCGAGACACACAGATCTTGGGATCCCCAGGGGGACTGCAAAGCAGCTGCAGCGGCCGAGGTTGTAGGTACGTGAGGCTTGGAGGGTCACGGCCGCCCCAGCACCAGGCGCTACCTGCTCCCAGCAAGCACAACATCGCATCGCACATCCTCTCCTTTTAAAAACTGTTAGAATCTACGTCTAATTTTGAAATAATTTCAAACTTAAAGAAAATTTGGCAAAAATGGTACAAACAATCCCTGGATACCCCTGACTGTGACCCCTGACCCCCTCCAGTGGCAACGCCTGGCACGCCCCATGCGCTGGTCTGCACCAGGGAGCCATCACTGACTTGGGGATCGGATCTAATCCGGGCACACAGACTTGGCCGGCACCTCAGTCTCTTCAGTCTGGGACTCCTGAGATCCGCCCTCCGTCTTTGGTGACCTCATGCCTCGCTGTCCCCTGGGGCTTGCGCTCCCCACCTGCGCTCGGCCGGACGCCCAGAGACCCGCCATGTTCTTCCTGGGACTGTGTCTCAGAGGTGTGATGCGCGGGGACACAGTGACCCCACCGGGCAGAATCCCTCTAAGTCACTCCCGGCCACGCCAGCCATCCTGCTCCCAGACATTTCTGCACTTGGGTTCCAGCAGCTCTTGCTCGCTTCTACAGTGCTGTCTGCCCCACAGCGATGTGCTGCGTCCATCCCTCCTCTGCAGTGGGCATGGGGAGAAACAGTGCTCCTCTCCTCTACTTATTTATTCATTCAACGCTTGGTTCCTGATGTGCAGATTCTTAGTTTACTCTGTGGGTTCTAAGCCATCACCACCATTATTTATTGTGTGGCTCACATCAAGGCCTACAAAAATTGCAGTTACACTCTAGAGAAAGGACCCAGATAAATAAAATCATGAATGAACGAGGAGAGATCACAACCAACACCGAAGACATACAATTATAACAACACATTATGGGCAACTATGTGCCAACAAATTAGATAATCTGGAAGAAATGGATGCATTCCTAGAGACATATAAACTACCAAAACTGAACCAGGAAGAAATAGAAAACCTGAACAGACCCATAACCAGCAAGGAAATTGAAGCAGTCATCGAAAATCTCCCAACAAACAAGAGCCCAGGGCTAGATGGCTTCCCAGGGGAATTCTACCAAACATTTAAAGAAGAATTAATACCTATTCTTCTGAAGCAGTTTCAAAGAATAGAAATGGAAGGAAAACTTCCAAACTCTTTCTATGAGGCCAGCATTACCTTGATCCCAAAACCAGACAAAGACCCCACCAAAAAGGAGAATTACAGACCAATATCCCTGATGAACATGGATGCCAAAATTCCCACCAAATACTTGCCAATAGGATCCAACAGCACATTAAAAGGATTATTCACCACGACCAACTGGGATTTGTCCCTGGGCTGCAAGGTTGGTTCAACATCCACAAATCAATCAATGTGATACACCACATTAATAAAAGAAAGAACAAGAACCATATGATCCTCTCAGTAGATGCAGAAAAAGCATTTGACAAAGTACAACCTCCTTTCTTAATCAAAACTCTTCACAGTATACAGATAGAGGGAATATGCCTCAAAAGCCATATATGAAAAGCCCATAGCAAATATCATTCTGAATGGGGGAAAAACTGACAGCTTTCCCCCTAAGGTCAGGAACGTGGCAGGGATGTCCACTCTCACCACTGCTGTTCAACACAGTACTAGAAGTCCTTACCTCAGCAAGCAGATAACAAAAAGAAATAAAAGGCATCCAAACTGGCAAAGAAGAAGTCAAACTCTCACTCTTGGCAGATTACAAAATGCTCCATGTGGAAAACCCAAAAGACTCCATCCTAAAATTGCTAGAAGTCATACAGGAATTCAGCAAAGTGGCAGGAGGTAAAATCAATGCACAGAAATCAGTTGCATTTCTATACACTAACAATGAGACAGAAAAAAGAGAAATTAAGGAGTCGATCCCATTTACAATTGCACCCAAAACCATAAGATACCTAGGAATAAACCTAACCAAAGAGGTGAAGGATCTAACTCTGAAAACTACTGAACACTCATGAAAGAAATTGAGGAAGACACAAAGAAATGGAAAAACATTCCATGCTCATGGATTGGAAGAACAAATATTGTTAAAATACGTATGCTACCCACAGCAGTCTACACATTCAATACAATCCCTATCAAAATACCATCAACTTTTTTCACAGAGCTGGAACAAATAATCCGGAAATTTGCATGGAACCAGAAAAGACCCTGAATAGCCAGAGGAATGTTGAAAAAAAAACAAAGCTGGCGGGATCACAATTCCAGACTTCCAGCTCTATTACAAAGCTGTCGTCATCAAGACAGTATGGTACTGGCACAAAAACAGACACATAGATCAATGGAACAGAATAGAAAACCCAGAAATGGACCCTCAACTCTATGGTCAACTAATCTTCAACAAAGCAGGAAAGAATATCCAACGGAAAAAAGGCAGTCTCTTCAACAAATGGTGTTGGGAAAATTGGACAGCCCCATGCAGAAGAATGAAACTGGACCATTCTCTTACACCACACACAAAAATAGACTCAAAATGGATGAAAGATCTAAATGTGGGACAGGAATCCATCAAAATCCTAGAGGAGAACACAGGCAGCAACTTCTTCGACCTTGGCCACAGCAACTTCTTGCTAGACATGTCTCCAAAGGCAAGGGAAGCCAGGGCAAAAATGAACTATTGGGATTTCATCCAGATAAAAAGCTTTTGCACAGCAAAGGAAACAGTCGACAAAACCAAAAGACAACCGACAGAATGGGAGAAGATATTTGCAAATGTTTTATCAGATAAAGGGCTAGTACCCAAAATCTATAAAGAACTTACCAAGCTCAACACCCACAGAACAAATAATCCAATCAAGAAATGGGCAGAAGACATGAACAGACATTTGTGCAAAGAAGACATCCAAATGGCCAACAGACACATGAAAAAGTGCTCAACATCGCTCGGCATCAGGGAAATCCAAATCAAAACCTCAATGAGATCCCACCTCACACCCGTCAGAATGGCTAAAATTAACAAGTCAGGAAACGACAGATGTTGGCGGGGATGTGGAGAAAGGGGAACCCTCCTACACTGTTGGTGGGAATGCAAGCTGGTGCAACCACTCTGGAAAACAGTATGGAGGTTCCTCAAACAGTTGAAATTAGAGCTACCATACGACCCAGCAACTGCACCCCCAGGGGAGGTGACACCCTCTGGAGAGGTGACACCCCCAGGAGAGGTGACAGGTGGAGCAGCCCCGGTGGAAGGCAGGGAGCTCTGGGAGCCCAGGGGTGCCCAACACGGCAGCGCAGAGGAGGGAGAGAGACACGGAGCTATGGGGACTCGGGAGCACCGAGTGGGGACCTGGGAGAGAAGGAGGGGCAGCTCACACCGGGGAGACCTCCATCCTGAGGACTGCAGAGGGCGGGGCCACACTCACCTGCTTGATGGCAGCTCTGAAGGCCCCCAGCACAGCCGCGGCACCCCCGCAGTCCCTCTTCATCCCAGGCATGGTGGTCTGGAGGGGGCACAGAGGGGGCACAAAGTGAGCGTGAGTGGATGTCGACCCCGCCAGCAACAGTGCCCCACCCCTGCCCGGCACACAAGGGCCCTAGAATGGCTCCCCCAGACCTGCGTGACCCACCGCCGGGTCCCCAGAGCACACACAGAACCCATGAAACTCCCACTGGTCGAGTGGCTGGTCTCCAGAAGCAATGGGCCAGAACGGCCAAAGGTGATGGGCTCTTTTCGCTGGAGCAGAGCTTTGGGGGCTACCTGATGCACCAGAGGTGGGAGGGGAAGGAGACCCCGGGAGCTGCCCAAAACTGCCACGTGGGCTGTGGCCTCGCTCCTCCCCTCCGTGGTGTCAGCCTTCCCATTTTCCTGGTTCCCATTCCTCAGCCCTCAGCCGACAAGTACAATCAGACCCTCACCCTGAGATGGTCCCCAAAGAACCCCCCCATCCCTGAGCTCTCTGGACACCTCACCTGCTCACCCGCACCCACCTCTCCCAGGAGCCCGCTCCCCAAGGCCACCTGCTCTGCTGGGCCAGCAGTGCCACTGCCAAGCAGCCTGGCTCCCAGGGGCCCTATGATTCCCGCTCAACATGGGGGGCACACGGGAGCGGCCTCTCCTGGCTTCCGAAACTCTCTGATCCCCACTTGCTGGCAGAGGGCTGTGCCCGCGTGTGATGCACGTGGTGCCCGACCGGCGTGAACCCTGCAGAGGGCCCCAGGGTGGCTGCACCCTGCAGAAGGACGGGGCCTTGTTCTGGTTCCCACGACGGCCCCCTCCCACACCCCCTGCTCCCTTTGCTAGCCCTTCCACTTCTACTTGTCTCCCGCAGGCCCAGTCCCAGGAAGAGTCCCAGAGCTTTACATCAGGCCTGCCTCCCTTCACAGTGCCTTCCTTCACACTGCCTTGAGGTCTGACCTCCCAGCCAGCACCCCTGCACCCCAGTCCCAGGGGGGCTTGCAGTAGCCACGCAGCAGGTTAAAACCAGGTACCACGTGTCTTCCCCCTCATACTGAGTCCTCCCCCAGGACCGTCCATCTTCCTCTGTGCACCAGCCTCCCTCCCTCCCGCCACCACCCAGACCACCTTTCTGCGGCAGACCACCCTGCCCAGGTCACCGCCTGGCCTCGGCGACACTTTCGGCCTCAGCTCTGCTCCTTGACGTCAATATCTCAAACAATCCGCTCAGGTTCATGTGAACTCTTCCCCAATGTCACTGTCACATCCCTGATCCCACCCCACCGCCCGCTCTGTCGGTGTCTAATGAGGGCCGTGAGCAGCGGAGGCTCCCTTCCGCTGCAGAGGGAGCTGTGATTTTCTCCAAACGGGTTGAGAGTGGTTACACATTTTTACATTTTATAGGTTCCCAGCTCTAATTGACAAGTTCATACTTTAAATTAACAACAGGTCATCAGATGCAGGATTTGGGTTTGAAATGGACGGAGTGATTTTTTCGAACCCTTATCGGATTACACAAGCCTCGAATTTTAATGGAAAGTATTTTTAGACATAAACTGAGCTGCTTTTACAATTAAATTGAGTGAAAATGACCCAGCTAGCACTATTGAAAATAAGCTGTCTCTTTGACCTAATCGGTGAGAAAGCACAGGATTGTTTAAATGGAAAAATGGGGCCTCAGATCTGGAATCAAGCCACCAGCAAAATGGCCCATGCAGAGTAGCTCGAGATGGTCACTGAAATTGTGTCTCCCTGTCACCGGGGCGGCCTCCCAACCTCAGACCGAACAAACACCAAACTGCAAATGTAACTCAACGGACTGTGTGAGCTTTGCAGATTCCCCACATGTTGCTCCTATTTTTCTGAAAGAGGTGATTTCCGAAACCCCTGTTTCATGGGGTTGACACTCGCGCGATGCAGCAGAGCGGTGGCGCGCCGCAGCCACGGCAGGGACGGTCCCCGGACTTGCGTCCGCCCTCCCGGAAAATAAACACAGCCAACTCCACTTGAGTTTCCTTGCTGAAGGAGTAGAATGATGGATTTTTCAAAAAGCTCAACTGCTGAGCACAGCTGTTTGCAAGATTCCCTGTGATGGAACAGAAGGTTCATGCACCGAGCACCCCCACTGTCCCCAGGCCGGGCGGTCAGAGCAGAAGCCGTGGACGGTCTCCCGGGGCTCGGCTCAGCTGGGCTCTGTGCTCCAGAACACCGCTGTAATTCAAAGAACAACTGACACGTGATGGGTTATTCAGACTCAGGTGTCCAGCAGAAGCGAACCTCTCATGTCCAGGGGAACAGCTAACCATAGCTGGTGCCAGTGGGAAAATTTGAGCTTTCAAGCAAAAAAAAAAAAAAAAAAAAAAAAATCACAATTTTGAAAAACCTGTATCTTCTGCCTCTGTGATGGCTTCCTAATACTTAGCGATTTTTAAAACGAGATGGATGGTGGTACCGAGTGTGACTTTTAAAAACATCCTGTGTTGGGCCACAATTTGGAGGGTCTGCGTAACTCCGTGAACGATGTCTTCTGGATGACCCATGCATGATATTACAAAACCATGCTTTCATAGTTCAAGGTAGACCGTAGATATTAAGTAACAGGGTGCAAAGACTCACTGACATGGTTTCTGATCCCGCACCAATCCCTCACCTTTCCGAGACTCCCACTTGTCGAGTTTTGGTGTAATAGCAAAGAAAAATGTTCTTAGTTATTTGTAAAGGGCATTAAACTATTTCTCCCTTTTCCAGCTACAAAGTAAGTGAGGCCCGATTTTCTTTTTGTATTTCAACTCAGACAACGTATCACAAGAGACTCAATGCAGAAGCAGATACGTGATCACAGCTGTCTTCGATCAAGGCAGATAGGAAAGAGATCAGCAAAATGTAAAACCATGCCACTCTTCTCACTCATGTCTTTTCATTTTGGAAAATATAGTTATTTTCATAACATTATATTATTTACATTAACATGCAATGGATTTATATTGTTATACTAAAATAATTTACTAAGTATCTTTCCCAGTCTTTATTTCTAGTAGGGTAAATATCAACATCTGTTAAATATCACTCTGAATAAAAAAAAAAAAAAGTCCCCTTGGGATCAATACTTGTTAAGAAAGGAAGGGGTCCTGAGACAAACACATTTGAGACCGGCATTCACACTGATCCTGATTTGCCTTTGAAGCCTTTGGAGATGGAGTGGTGACTCCTGCAGGATTGGGTCTGGTGCCCCCAGCAAAAGGACTAATTCTCGGGAGCCCCCGCTTCTCACTCTGGCCCTCCAATAAGCCAACATCTGCTCCCAGGAGGAAGGAGCTGGGAATTCTACCCGCTCCTACCCTACCCTACCTTGTCCTCCAGGAGAAGAGCCAGCCAGCATGGCGGGTGACAGAGAGAGGGCTGGCCAGTACCAGACGCAACCAGAGGGGCGCACTGGCTGTGGAGAGTCTGCAAACAGTAAGTAACCAACTCAAAGTCCGTCGGCCTGCTGTCATCAGTGGGAAAATGGTTCTTCCGAAAAATCTGTCGAAGTGAATTCTAATCATACAGATAAAAGGTTCAAACCCACCTATTCTAGCTACTTATCCTTTGCCAGGTACAGGGCTGGCTGGATAGGCGGCGACGTGCCTTCCAGCAGACAGCGGAGGCGGGGCCGGCGTCTGTGACTCCCCACGGTCCTGCCTCCACAGTGGACTCCGAGCAAACCCATGGGTACAGGGAGCCTGGGCCTCACGGCCTCCCTCAGCCTATGTGAGCCACTGGACTTGTATTTAACACGATTTTACTCCACAGACCTGTGAAGGGCGCTAGAATCAGTTTCAAAGAACTGCAGACATGGACAGTATTGCGATTTCTGGAGTTTCTTGGGAAATGGGGTTTGGGGCAGTCTCTGCCAAGTGATCCTTATGTGAAAAACTTTTCCTGGGTATTGGTGTACAGATTGTTTCATGCGACAGAAACTCTTCCTAATTCAAATTCACAGTGTTTTAGGATCAACCATAAGTGCAGATGGACTGACCAATCTCGGTCCCTGGTAAGCGTAGAGATGTGCAAAATTTTGATAAAGTCATTGGCAAATCTACAGAAGCGAAGGGCTCCAAACAGACACTGTAGTGCTAACACTCCTTTTACCACAACAGACCAATAGGGAGGCATTAAGTTCTTTCTATCCAAAAAATCACATTAATGTAATTTAAAAGTATTGATCTATTGCTGTTTTATGTGTGCTGTAATACTTATATATTTATTTACTTACTTATTTAAAGATGTTATTTTTAAGTTATCTCTGCACCCCACGTGGGGCTCAAACTCACGACCCCGAGATCAAGAGTCGCATGCTCCACCGACTGAGCCGGTCGGGCGGCCCTGTAATACTTATTTTCATTTTTTTACTGGCATGATAATACGTATGGAATTCAATAAAGGTGAATTCACTACTGGTGTTTGTTTTTTTTTAAACCATTATTCTCCAATCATTTCCTGATTCGGCCTGAAAATAATGTTTACGGGAGGAGGGATGTTAAAAAAAAAAAAAAAAAGGAACAGACCATCCACTCTAGGTACCAAATGCACTAGACTGGCTAGCGGTGCAAATGGTAGCGTACAATCTCCCTGTGAAACATTGACCAACACCAGGGCTCAGGTCAGAAAGCACTGGAGCCGCGGCGAACCAGACCGTGCAGGCTCCATCCACCGGGCAGTGCCTCTTGGCTCCAGCAGGATGCCTCCAGGTGGAGATGGAGGTCCGTACTGCCGGATCTCCTCAGTTTACAAAAGGTCAGATAGCCAGTGTTCTGCGAGAATTTTTCCCGTTTTTTAAATGTTGGTAACTAATTCAAATTATAGACCAGCCCTTGGGCCAACAGGACGTATCTGTGAGCCACACTGGCTGCCAGCTCTCGAGGTCTGCTCTCTCTTCTAGAGCCTTCTCTCTGGGAAGGTTGGCTCTCTTCTTCCTGGTCTCCTGGGGCACAGATTTCACACGCCTGCTCCTTCCCAGGCCTTCCGAGTCCTGGCACCGTAGAGCCCAGCCCAGGCCCGGTGCCCAGTGTTTGCTCAACCCAAGTGTGGGACATGAGCAGATGAAGAAGTGTCCCTCCTGCTCCTCGTGGGGCCATCTCGGCTCCCAGCGCGCAGCAGGCCCAAACGTGCTGGGCGTGGAGGAGGGCAGGCAGCTCAGTGGCCGAGAGATGCAACCACGACTGGTGCCCTGAGGTGCCCGGCCTCGTGAGACGACCCTACTTAGAGGCCACCCATAGGAGAGACTTCTGCCGCCGGGCCTCACAGGAACACCAGCAGGCGGCTTGCTCGTGGGGCCAAACCCCTCTGGCCTTCACTGGGGGGCCTGTTCTCCGAGTGGGCTCATGCAGATTGCACTAAGCATTCTGTCCATGGAAAACTTGCTGGTCGTGGGGACCATGGGCACCACCCCACGCCCTTCTCTTCAGCCTGAACCACCAAGTCCTTGAACCTTGCCTTCTTGGGCTCGTTTTCCAGCCTTTTAATCATTTCTGTGGCTTTTCTCTGGACCTTGTCCAGACTTTTTGTTTCCAGACTCCTGTCTGGAGTGTGGACATGAAACTGTCTCCCCCTCAGAAGAGGAATCAGCCCCGCCGACTCTTCCCAAACCTGGCTCCCCAGAGGCACGTCCCAATGCCAAGGTCCCAGAAGCCTTGCTTGCTGTCTTCCTCCAGCGCCTCTGAGAGCTGATGAGGCCCCCAAGAGTCCTCCCCACCCTGGGACCCGCCCAAGCACTGGCCCCAGCACCTCACCTTCCCTTTGATGCTGAGACCCCCGGTGTCATAGACGATCCCTTTGCCCACCCATGCAATGGTCTGTGTGGCTCCTTCTGGGGTGTGGCTGAGGACGGCCAGCGCCGGGGGATGGAGGGCAGCCTTGCCAACACCATAGATTCCTACAGAAAGCACAGGGAGAGGGTCAGTTGGGCTCAGGTTGAACTGCGCAGAGAACTCCCAGCAGCCCCCCAGAAACAACAGCTCTCCCCCGGAAATACCCACTGGCGTGTGAATATTTCTCCTGGAGAGTGTGCAGTCCAAGCCCGAGCTCCCTGCCCCCTGTCCTGCCCCCTGGCCAGCATGGGATCGGGGAAGGCAAATTAGTTCCAATGCTCTGGGACTGCAAACGAATTCCGTGCGAAGTATCGTTAGGCAAGAAAACCCGCTGAGAAAAAAAACAAAACAAAACAAAACTGTAACATTCCCAGAAAGAAATGAACAGGGTTGCAGAATGAAATGATTTTTGGATAACGCTTCAAGGCCACTCCAGCCCACGCTCATTCGCCCCTCCCTGAGCCCTCTGTGCACTCGGTGCCGCACCACCCTTTCCGAGCCCGCTCCCACCACTGCCTTGCCCTGGGGTGTACATGCCCTGTCTCCTCAAGAAAGCCTCTTGTGGGCAGAGACCAGGCCTCAAGGCCCCCGGCAACTGAACTGAATGAGAGCCAACAATGGCTGCCTGACAAACTCCCATATATCCTGCAAAACCCGCTGCTCAATACCATCTCCTCTGTGACGATTTCCCTGACCTTCGCAGCCTCGGCCTCCACTTGTCGCTGGTTTATGTGTTCTGTGGTAGGCACCTCTAGGATAGCGCCCTCTGATCCCTGCCTCTGGGACCCCCCCTCTCTCAGTGTGGCTGGAACCTTGCGTCTCGCTTCTGGATATGGCAGAAGTGATGAGATACCACTTCCAAGACTATGTTGCAAAAAAAGACCTCGCCTCCTTCTGGCTTGCTCACTCGTCCTCGCCCAGAAACCTTGCTCTGAGGGAAGCAGCTGCTACTTGTGAGCTGCTCAAGGAGAGGCACAAATGACAAGGAACAGCCAGCAAGGCCCCAAGCCTGGTGACAGCACCGTGAGTGAGCCTGGCTGGGACCACATCACCGGCCCCGGTTGAGCCTTCAGATGACTGCTGACCTGATCCACATGCTGGTCTCCACGTGGCAGAGACCCTGGGCCCAGGACCCAGCCCAGCTGTGACTGATTCCCCACCCACAGGACTATATGTTGCCTTTAGTTGCTTCCTTCTGGGGTAATTTGTTTGGCAGCCATAGATAAGGAGTGTGGTGACCCCCCCCCCCCCAGCCAGACTGAAAGTGCCTTATCCTACTTGTCACCATATCTCCAGTGTCTGGGGGCCAGGGAGGATGGGTCCGGTCATCAGGAAAGGCCCTCTGAGGGGGTAGATTCGACCCAGGATGTTCAGGGTCTGAGGGCCCCTCTGTGAGAGTATCTTGGGGAAGGACTCCAGAGAAAGAGAGCCAGAATGACAAGGCCCCGATGTGAATGTGGGCTTGTGTGCTCAAGGAGCAGAACGGTCCTGCTGAGTTGGCCCAGGCAGCCAGGACAGCAGCCCTTGCGGACAGGGAGTGGGCTGGGGAAGGACTTGGACGCTGCAGCTTCCAGAGTCTGAATCAGCGCCTCTTTTCTCCCCCAGAGATGGTCTGCTTCCCAAGGTCTGGCCTTGGGGTTGGACAAAGGCTGGCTCCTTTCAAGGGAAGCTTGAGGCATCACAGGGCGTGACCCACAGCCACCCTGCCACCCCCAGCACCCAGGACCAGCCTGAGGCCACGGCCCGTAAGGCCCAGCCCTACCCACCTCCAAAGCCTCTCGTTTTTAGCTCCTCATCTCGGATGATCGTTGGGGTGATCCCCAGATCTTTTCCAACTTTCTTAATCTCCTGGACACGTTCATGGAAAAAACAACACAAAGACACGTGAAGATGGCTTAAGTCAAGGCGAGGCCAAGGCTTGGGGCCAGGGATGAGCCAACGCCCACATGGCGGAGAGGAGCAGGCTTGGAAGCCAGGGCCTCAACTCTCTCAGCTTGGAGCACGATTAAATCCAGGACAAAAGGTTCACCCTCCAAACTACAGTTTCCTGTAGATCACGGCTGTGGTCCTGCAGAGAGGCCTTGCGGAGGAGGCTCTGTCCTCCCGCCCCCCTCCACCGAGGCCTGGGGGCCCCTCACAGCTGGGTGGACAGCAGGACTCTGTCCGCGGCAGCCCCAGGCATCCTCAGGCAGGGTGCCAAGGCTGTAGGCACTGTCCCCCTCCAGCCCTGGGTGTCCCCGGACTTCCCTGGGGTCTATCAACGCCCCGCCCACCCTGGCCCCACCCTGGCATGACTCCCCGGGGCCACGGACCTCGAGGAAGGTGTCTGTGTTCATCTCGTTGCAGGGAGTGTCCACGATGCGGGCAGCCAGCCGCACGCCTTCTGTGGCGTTTGCTAAGCACTGGGGAAAGAAACCAGAGGCTGTCACTGGGGACCTAGGACCGGGTAGGATGGGCTGTCCCTCCCTGTCCCTTGCCCCAGGGACAAAAGGCATCAGTAGCACATGCCGTCCGGGGCAGGTTTCGGGGCTGCTGACAGGGTGTCGAGGGGCAGGTCAGGGGGAAACCAGACTCACAGTGCCTGCTGTTGTCTTCCCGGTGCCTGTGACCCGCCCTGCCATCCACAGAAAGTTCCACACGGCTCTGCACCTCGCCTCCAGGTTACACGAGAATCCTTCAGCCTGGCGCCCCCACCCGGTGTCAGTGGGGCCCACCTCCCTTTCCAGGCCTCACCTGCTGCTTACTCCCCTCATCTTGGCGGCAGGCGGTCCCGTGCCCGGCCCTGAACACACGCTGGGCATTCCTGCCTCAGGCGCCTGGCAATCCCATGTCCTCTCTTGGGGGAAGTGTTGTCCTTCGCTAGGGGCTGAATGTCTGCATCACCCCTAAACCCATATGTTGAAGTGAAGCCCTACCCCCCACAGTGGTCAGGTTTAGGTGAGGTCAGGAGGGTGGGGCCCATGATGGGATTAGCGCCCTCACAGGAAGAGGGAGGGAGGGCACAGCCAGAAGGCCACCACCCGCAAACCAGGCAGGGAGTCCTCATCAGACCCTGCCCTGATCTCAGACGGCCTCCAGAGCCCTGAGAGGTACAGGTCTGTTGGTGAAGCCACCCCTTCAGCGGTATTTTCTTACGGCCGCCGGAGCCGACCGATACACCCTCCCTTCTCCTCTTGTCAAGATCCTGGCCATCCTTTGTGGCACTTCTTAAAGGCTGTGCCTTCCAGAAGCTCCAAGTTCTCTTCGTCCCGCACCCCAGAGCCCGCTGGTCCCCCTTGCGGCCCTCTGGCCATGAGGGCGGCGTTTTTCTCACGTGAGCCCCATGGGAGTGTGTCACAGACTTCCTGCCCTTGTGTCCCTGGCGTGCCGCACGGCTCCGGGTATGGAGTGCAGACGGAGGAACGCACAGACCCTGCCTTGTGCGGCTTACACGTTGGCCCAGAGCCCAGAAGGGAGCAGGGACCTGACACTGTCCCCTGCGAGCTCAAACACAGGAGCCGCCCCAGGCCCCACGCTGGCCACCCTCCCTGGCCCCACCCCTACTTTCTGCAAAGAACTTCTGTCCCACTTTTGCTTCAGCGCTGATTCTGGAAGGTCTTTGCCTTCTCGTTCATCCCTGCCTAGCTGCTGCCCACGGTGCCGCCGGCCCCACCCCCGAGCTTCGGTCACAGGGCTGGCTGGCCGCCTCTTCCCTGCGCGCTGGGAAGAGGTGATACTGAAAGAGCAAAGCTGTGCAGGTGCGGTAGGGGTGCAGAGGGCATGGAGTTTATCATCACCTGCCCAGCACCCTGGCGCCAGGGAGGGCAGGCTCTGGGTCCACTGCGCCAGCCCGGCCACCTCCCAGGCCCTGCTGAATGGCTCGGAGAGCTTCTGCCTCCCGGAGGTAATTAAACCCCCAAGCCTCAGAGGCAGGGACACAGGACTTGACAGCTCAGATATGAGATGTGACCGTGTGGCCCCCTCCGCCTGACAGCGGGCTCTCCTCTGGGAGGCCGAGGGTCCCTGTCGTGGGCGTCGCAGAGACCATTGTTCATCTCTGATGCAGCCTGTGGTCGCTGTCTGGGAAGTGCGTCAATGCCCTAAGCCTCGTCTCTAAGGAGGCCGGGCCCTCGCCTCGCAGCCCTCCGTGGGCTCAGAGCCCCCGGTGCAGCCTGGCTGAGCGAGAGGGCACACAGCATCTGCGGCGGAGCCCGGGGGAGGCTCCCAGTGCCCCTCCGCCACCACAGAGCCTCGTGACCTTGGGGAAGAGCTTGTGGCTCATCGTGCCCCAGGATCGAACATTCATTCATTCATTCATTCCACCCACGTTTCTATGAGCACCTACTGTGTGCCAGGCTCCACACTAGACTCTGGGAATTCAAAGATGTCCAAGGTACTCCAGCCCAGCGGAGAATCACAACACCTCACTCCACTAAACATGACAGGGGAGGAGGGTATGAGAGACCACAGGGACCCGGGTGGTGGCGGGGGGGGGGGAAGAGGACTTGCCGGGGGGAGTGCTGAGGAGGTCTCCATAGTATGGAAAAGGCCACCCGGGGTGCCTGAGGTTCCCGTGCTCCCGATCCAAGACAGACAGGAAAGAGAGCTGACAGATGGCGGCCGTGGTTAAGACCTGGCTCTGCCCCTTGCTGGTGTGGCCCCAGGAAGTCACCTAGCACCTCCGAGCCTCAGTCTGCTCAGCCCGACGGTGGGAAGAACAACAGTCCCACCTCCTAGGGCTGCTGAGAGGACTCATTAGGCAGTCCGCGTCTACGCAAGCTACGAGCAGCCATGGGAAGGGGAAGTGGACGGAGGGCATCTGGAGGCAGCAAGACCCGTGAGGAGGCGGCCACAATGGCCCAGGAGAGCAGTGGGGCGTGGGTGGGGGCTCCCCAAGGCAGTGGCGGTGGGCAGAGTAGGACGCACTGGATGTGGGGGTCTAGGAGACCCACCAACCCAACCCAACCGTCCTCGTCACATGCTGGGCCCCTCCTGGGACCACAGACCAGGTCCCTGCCCTCCGGAAGCTCTGACCCCAGCGCAGGGCGCGGAAGCTAAGCAGAGATGTGTCACGTCAGGTGGGATGGCACTCAGCGGGCAGAGGGCCCGACTTCGAGCGAGGCCATGTCAGCCAGCCAGCTCCCCGGGGAAAGGGACGTGGGCAGACCCGGAGCAGGGAGGACCTGGAGAGGGAAGCTGAGGAGGACAGAAAGTCAGTCCACCATGGCCAGCAGGGAGGGAGAGGAAAGGCTCGGAGGACGTGGGGGGGTCCAGGGTGCTGCTCAGGCCGGGAACTCAGAAGGAATGCCCCGCCGCTAGAGGGGAGGGGTGGTCGTCGGTGCCCGTCTGTGGGATGGAGCCCACAGGCGCTTGGAGAACCCAGAGGAGAGGAGGTGAGATCGGAATGTGGGAACGCTCGGGAAAGGGGGTGTCGAGGCGGCCGGCGGGGGGGGGGCGTGGGAAGGAGGCATGGCTCTGGGTGGGGTAGACCCTTCAAGGTGGGGGGGGATGCAAACGGGCTGACCAACATTTAAGTCCAGCAGACAGGCTCCTTAAAAAATCAATGTCAGGATGCGGGGTGGAAACTCCGATTTGGGTGGGCTGAGGGGGAAAGGGAGTTAAGAAAGGCAAAGCAAGTAGACCGTGTTTTATCCACGTTTGGAAATCAACGGAAGGAGAAAAGGAGCTGTTGCAGGATGGCAGAGACAGAAGCCTGTGCTCTCCTTCTAGAGCGAAAGATCCAGGGGGAGGAGGCGGCCGGTGAGGGGTGCCGGCCTGGGACAGCAGTGAGGGGCGGGGTAGGAGGGACGGCCTGGGTCTCAGTGGGGGTCTGCGACACTCGCCGCGGGGAAGGAACCTGCCGGTCGGCCCAGACCAGGACTCCTAACCTGGAATCCCTCCCAGCCTCGCTGGCCTCAAAAGGATTATGATCCAATGAAATAACACATGTAAAAGTGGGCCGCAGACGGAGGGGATTCTCAGGATTAAACAGGAGAGTGCCTGGTGCTGGGGGGGGGGCTCAAGAAATACCGGGGAAAGGCCGGAGTCCTGACCAGGAAGCCCCCCCCGAGGGAGGGGGCCGGCTGCCCGGGTTTGGAAAGGCCTCCCCCCCCCCCCCGGGGCCGTTGCTGCCGCACCCCACTGCCACCGCCCTCCCCTTCCAGCTGCCCCAATGCGTGCGGGCCCGGGGACCCAGGGCGAGCGTCCGGACACCCACTTGCAGAGTGGACACCTCCACCGGCCCGTTGTCTTGTCCCACCAGGAAAAACTCCACCGTCACCGTCTTCTTGTCTGCACGCCGGGCAGCCCCGGAGCGGTGGGTGAAGAGCGGGAAGGCTCGGGCCAGGGCGCACGCAGAGGCGAAGGCGTCGGAGCGCTCGCAGACCATCTGCAGCACAGAGAGGCAGAGCCGTGAGCAGGGGCCGACCTGCGGGGGCAACCCCGGGGAGGAGCTACACTCTGGACAGAGAGGCCCCAGCAGAGCCGCCATGCGGGGCCTTCCGGTAGCCACCGTCCAGCCCTGGGAGAAAGAAAACATCAGCCACCAGATGTGTACTGCCTCCGAGGCGGGAAAGTAGGACGTGGAGCGGCGTGGGCTCAGGAAATCTGAGTCTGAGGCTCCGAACGACCACCAAAACTGATATAGGGCAAATGGCCTCGTCTCTCGGCCTCAGTTTCCCTGTCTGTAAGCAGGGGTTACGATGTCCTGGGCTGTGGCGGCACGTCTACGTCGGAGGTCCTGCGAGCCGGGGTGCCCTGCCCGCACCGGGGCGGAGCTACGGGGACACCCGCTCCCCACGAGTACGACGATGGCCGTCGGCACTCACCAGAATGCACCGATGGGTTCCGGGCGGCAGGCAGGTGCGCACCAGTCGGGTGACGAAGTGGGCCGCCGAGGGGCTGTTGTGCCGGCTCACCCTGGAGGGCAGGGCGGCCACGGTGGCATAGTTCAGGTACAGGGGGCAGCTGTCCGTGGGGTTTGGGTTAAGCGTGCTTAGAGCGGCCTGCCAGAGCTGGACGGGAAGGGGAGAGACAAGAGACAGACGCCAGACATCAAACAGTCCGCATGCCGGCAGCCGGGCCCTGCGTGCAGACGCTTGCGAGGCTAAACGGGCACTGCGGCAGCTTCCCCGGGGCACCCATGATCCCTAATTAAGATGTGTGGCCTCTCGCTGCAGCTCAGCGTGTGTGTGTCTGCTAGCACGGTTCCACCCTTGTGGGATTAAGCCGTGGGGATTTAAAAGGCCAGGCTGGGCCCGCCGGGCTTCAAACGCCGCGACCCCGCACCGCACCGGGGTGGGCCCCAGCCAGGTGCCACCGGGAGGGCTTCCGGGAGCGGGCGGCCGGCCGGCTCCCCCGGCAGGGCCGCGCGGCCCCTCGAAGGCAGCGCCCGCGGGCGGCTCCGGGGGCGGGGGGAAGCTCCCCCCTCCGCGCCTCCCGGGCTGGCCTCGCGCCCCTGCGGGCGCCGGGCGGGGCCTCCGGGCGGCCGCGCGGCCCGCTCACCTCCTCGGTGACCCGGGGCTGCAGCTTCCCGCGGACGTGGCTCCAGGGCACGCGGTGCAGGTGGTGCAGCTGCCCCAGCAGCAGCAGCGGCCGGCTCTGTGGGTCCGCGTCCCCGGCGCTCGCCTGGAACTGCAGCCCCACGTTCGCCATCTTCCGCCGGCCCGCGCCCCCCGCCCGGCCGCCGCCCCGCTCCGCTCGGGCTCCGCTCCGGCCCGGCCTCGGCGCCGCCCCGGCCCTGCCCGGCCGCCCGGCCCCGCCTCCCCCCGCCGCTCCGGGCCGCTCGCGAGACGTGCAGGGCCAGCCCGGGGCGCGAGGGGGCGCGAGGGGGCGCCGGGCCGGCGGGGCGGGGCGGGCCGCCCTGACCCCGGGCGGGCCTTGGGCCCCAGGGGGCAGGCCCTCCCCCCAAAACCCGCAGGCCCGAGCCGGCAGGCCCCGAGCGGCAGCCCGGCCCCAGGCCCCGGTAGGCCCCAACCCCTGGGTAGGCCCCGATCCCCGGGGCAGGCCCGAAACCCGGCAGGCCCCAATCCCCGGGCAGGCCCCGATCCCCGGGGCAGGCCCGAAACCCGGCAGGCCCCAATCCCCGGGCAGGCTCCAAAGCCCGGCAGGCCCCGGCCAGGCCCGGCAGGCTCCAAGCCCGGGCAGGCCCCAAGCCCCGCAGGTCCCCAAGTGGGCCCTGCCTCCAGAGTGAGGAAACAGCTCTCTGGGGAACCTTTCCTGGAAGGGGCCCTGGCCCCCAGCCCCCGCAGACCCTGGTGGCCCTGACCTCCAGCAAGTCCTGAGCAGACCCAGGCCCAACCTGAGTCCCACCCAGCAGCTCCCACCAGACCACCGTGTGCATGAGCCCCAAGCAGGCCCAGCTTCCTGCGGTGGTCCTGGGTGACCCCTGCGCTGGCAGGATGTGCCCTCACCACACCCCCAGCCGCCTGTCAGGTGTGGATGGGCTTGGTGATGCCTGGATCCGTCCCAGCTCCTGACTTAGACGAGGCCCGGCTGCCTGGCATGCTGGGCAGTGTCCACAGTTCCTTCCTCCTCATTTAATGGGTTCTCTGCCACTGAGCGGGTCCCCACTACTTTGCAGGCACTGTCCTGGATGTGAGTCAGGTGTCAAGATGTGGGTTTCTACCCAGGTTACTGCTTCTGGGATGGCCAGTTAGAAACTCAGGCATCGCCTCGTCTGGTGGAGGGCCCTGTCCCCGGCCACCCCTTTGCAGGAAGGGTCATCTGGCAGCAGTCTGAGCAAGCTGCCCCCTGCAGCCTCCCGGCCTGCCTGGGGAGAGGGGCGGAGACAAAGAGCGAAGAGGAGGGGGCAGCACCTGAGCCACCTGCCACTGAGGAGGGAAGGCTAGTCGAGAAGGGCACCTGGAGGGTGTTGGGGGCATGTGGTGGGTGGAGGGGCCCTGGGTGAGGGCAGAGGGCACACCTGGTGGACGGCGGGTGTGCCCTTGGCGAGGGTCCTGGCTCCTGCCGTAACTCAGATGCCCGGTTCAGGGAGCCGTGACCCAGTTGAGGAAGCCCCACCAGGACTCATTTAAAAATACAGATCCTGCCCACATCTTGATTGCTCAAGGGCCTGTTGGTACTCCCCTCATTACCTCTAGCTACTTCCATGTGCCATCCTTCTCATTTTGAGTTTCTTTTTCATTCTCAGCCTTAAAAAAATAGCAGCGCCAACTCCCAAGCACAGCATCCGAGGCTTTTGCAAAGCCACTGATTTCCTAGCACGTCTCCCCCACTCCCTGATTTGCAACCCACCCACGAGTGGCAGCTTCGTCTTCCCTGGCTACTCTTCTGTGTCTCCCTGTCGGTTCTGAGCCCCGGTCCCTGGTGCAGGGTAGTTGGTTCTGAGCCCCGGTCCCTGGTGCAGGGTGGGTGCTCGACAACATCCCCCTGGGCCAGAGAGCTTCAGCATTCTGAAGGCAGGGCTCAAACCCCCTTTCTTCTGCAGGGCCTAGCACAGAGCAGGTACCAAAAAAACAGTCGTTGAATGAGTGAAAGGAATTCCTTCGAAAACCCACAGCTTTGCCAACGTGAAAGTCGACGCTAATTAGATCTTATTTTCCTCAAAAGATTTTTACAGCAGCTGAATGTTTTCACACATTTGTAAAGGGTACGAAGAGCATGTATGAAGATCTATCACTCTTTCTTCTGTTTGCAAGTACGCTGCAGACAGGCACAGGGCACTCCAGCAGTGGGGGGAGGCCATGTGGGATCTTCTCGGGGGGTTGCCCTGCCCGGTGAAAAGAGGACTTCCCCACACCCACAGGGCAGGGGAAGGCATTCGGCGGGGAGAAGCTGGGGAGGAGAGCAGAAACCCAGAGTGTCCACGGGGCTCTGCATCCTGTGGGCAAGGACCCAGGGTCCCAGAGAACAGGCAAGGAGTGGGCTGTGGGGGACCGCAAACCGGGGATTCACTCCACAGACTTGTGCTTGCTGAGGGAGGACCCAAGACACATTTTAGTTCTAAGCACCCCCATCCCCCCTCCGCTCCCGAGTCGAAGAAATCCAAACTAAACAGAACGCTAAGGAGTTACTCGATTTCAAATGCCTGCCGATCTCCTCAAGATGTAGCTTGTGACAGATACAAATATATTCCAGGAAAGTACTTTCCCCTTTGCACTGCAGACTTTAGAGACCTCAACATAAATAAGACAGGCAAGCACTCTGTTTAGATAAATTTTTAAGAAGGTATTAATCCACAGCTTAGTATATATTTCACTATCAATGAAAAATCCACCTCAATTTAATTTTCTTTAAAAAAAATGAAAATTGAAAACAACTTACCAGATCTTTCGCGCAATCCGAGAAGTAACTTCTGTTTTTGATGAGGTGCGACTCATTCTGAATTCAACCGGACGTTCAGACTTAGCAGTTGAAGAACAAGGCTTTAAAAACTGGAAGGAATCAGAATGAAGTCCCCAGGACTTATTAGGAAGCTTTTGGTACAGTTCACATTCTTGAACACATTTCTGAGATCATATCGTGTAAGACGGCCCTGGGTGTATGGAGTGTGTATTTATATATTAATTTCGTGCCAGGAGAAACATCTCCTCTACTCTCTGCTTATTAGACTGATTGCCTTGAGATTCTCAGATTCCATTATTCTGATGTGAGAAACACTCATTCCCTTGGAGCACTTGCTGCTTCTTTCTGGGATTTTCACTCATTCCTTTATTCAATATATATTTGTTGAATATCAGTTTCTAAGAGCTCCAGGCCAGGTCAGGCTTTTGGGGATACATTGGCCGTGGGAGGACATACAGCAGTAAAACTCAGCAAGCCAGTCCCTGGGAGAAGACTGAGCTTGGACTGAGCTATCCAAGGACAAGTCCCGGCGTCCCAGGCAGTCTGATCCCTGATAAGGGAGTTGTCCACGCAAGGGCTCATAATACTAAAGGGCATAGTCCATTTGGACCGGTGGCAAGCTCACGTGCACACATAAAAGTGTGCATGAGACGTACGCTGAGCCACGGAGTTTGAACTTGACCTTGTGGGTCACAAAACCAGTGGAAGGGCCTCCATCAGGACTAACGTGAGATCGAGGTAGGGTTCATTCCTGGTGGACGGTGATCTGCCGCTGCATCTGCCCTGAGGGGGCGGAGGCAGGCTCAGCTCCATGACCTCCGTCCACAGAGCAGCTGGCCTGGAGGTGAGCCCCCAGCGAACAGGCAAGTGAGACATCTGCATGACCTCCCCGGACGAGGCCTGTGCTTGGGGGTATCTGCGCCTTCCCTCGCCTGCGCATTGGGGGGGTGCCTCGGTTACACTTTGTGAATTGCATCAGGCATGCCACCCAGAAGATTCGGGCTAAATGTTCCCTGAAGGGTTGAAAAGGAACCGGTTGCCATGAAAATCACATTTCTCTAGAAGCTTCTTTGCAAAATGCATTAACTTACGGAAATGTTGAAAAAACCACTATAATGAACACTCGTATACCCTTTACCTAGCTCAGATGTGTCTGTGTGTGTGTCCATATATTTTTTTTCCTGCACTTTAAAGTTAGTTACATACACTTTAACCTTAAATACCTCACTGTGTATCTATCTATCTCTTAGGACACTAGCCCACAAAATCACAAGAATATCCTGATCATACCCATGGAAAATTAACATCGAAACAATACTATTATCGAATACACAGTCCACATTGAAACTTGTTTGATTGTCCCCAAAATGTCTTTCATTGCCTTTTAAAAATCCAGAATCTAAATAAGGACCAGGCGTTCCACTTGGTTGTCAATTCTCTTTGGGCTCCTTGAATTCAGAACAATCCCTGCCTTTGTCCTTCCTGACACTGCATGTGGCGTAGAAGGTCCCGCAGTTTGGATTTGTTGGATTGTTTCCTTATGATTAGATTTGGGTTAAACACATTGTGTTTGCCACCGTACCTCACCAGGAGCCACAGAACCCGTGTGTCTTGTGTTAACTGGCCAAGGTGGGCTCTTTGGTTCGGGCGGGGTGGGCCCGATCTCTTCACAGCAAAGGGCCGTTTCCCTTTTTATAATTAACGGCATGCAGCTCAGTCTCCTCTTTAAAATGCACGGAGACTCAGAGGCCACGAGAGAGTTCTGTCTCCTGGCCTCTCCCCCGAAGTTTCATAGCCAGTGATGACCTCTGCCTGAATCAAATACTGCTTTTGCAACAGGGTCATTTTCTACCTGGATCATCCGTTCAACCACCTGAAGTCCTGAGTAGAGACCTCCCTGCCTCCCCTCGGCGCCAGGACGCACTCACATAACCTGTGGGGTCTGGGGCAAAAAGGAAAGCGCCGAGCCTCGTTTTCAAGAGAGAATTTCACGATGGTGGCAGCGGAGGATTAACCCAAAAACGGGCCCCTGACACAGCGGGCGGTGGCCGTGGGCTCCGGGGCCGGCCTTGGCCCAGTGCTGTCCCTGTGTTTGGCTCTTTCGCAGTCGCTGGCCCCCCTCGGGCCAGCCAGGGCCCCATCAGGCGGGCGCCCGTGTCTCTTCTCACATGTTCCTATGGGTCTCTGAGGACTCCGGTCCTCCTTGCAACATTAAGATGGTCCCCAGGCTCACTCTGCTCCTCCCTTGCCCCAAATCAAGAGTCAGCCGGGTCTCCCAGGAGCCCTGGTCTCCCTGCGGTCGGGGGCATGGCTGTTTAGATTTCATCTGGAAATCCAGTCCTGCGTGTGGCGTGCACTCAGGCTGTTTCTGATCCTTTTCGAGGAATATCGTGAGTGCACACGGATTCCT